AAGAGGTTCAGAAGCCTTTGGGTATGTCTACACTACAGAGGTTTTTGTGGAAAAATGGCCATTTTTCCAAAAAAACTTCAATTACGTCCACACTGCAGTCACATTCTTCTGAAAGAAAATTGAAAGAACAGAGAGGATTTTCTGACATTGATAATCCTCATTCTATGAGAAAGAAGCCTTGTTCTGAAAGAGATCTTCCGGAAAAAGGCGCGTGTGGATGGGGAAGAGGGAGTTCTTTTGAAAGAAGAGGAAAGAGGAAAAAGCACAGGTGCCCTGGTGGCCACTCCATCTGTAGTAATCACAGCTGAAATGCAAGATAGCGTCCATTCAGTGTGGACACAATCTCTTCTGGAAAAGCTTCTTCTGAAAGAAGCCTGTGGTCTAGGCATATCCTCAATGTCTTAACTGACTATGTGCCAGCATCATTAAGCTAGTACAGAGGGAGAAACAGGGATTAGATTCATGCTTTCACAGATCAAATGGCTACAAAAAAGGCAGTATGATTGAACAGCAACTATGTTCCTATAGGCTGGCACTGGACTAGCAGCTGTAAGCTATTAGCAGCAGGTTGGGGAGTAGAGTGTATCCCTGCAGTTTCCAGTTTGTGCCATTGCAGTTTGCTTCCTGAACAAAGTTTCTTTGCTCAAATATTAGTGGGAAGGAGTGAATTTCATCACATACACAAAACTGACTATTAACATGCCATTGGAGTTTTTGACCAGACTTCTCTTTTAAGCTCATTGAACTTTCCAATAGGTTGTCCGGCAAATCACTGACACCAATTCTGACATTTGGTAGATTTCCCCTGTAATGTCCTAATCTCCAGCATACAGTACAAATCAGAATGCCAAGTGCCCAGCTACATCTCTGTATTTAGAATTTGAAGTAATGTAAATATTGCCTGGATGTTACCTACTGGATGATAGCAGAGTTCTTCTAATTTGCTAGCACGGACCCATTCACTTGGATGGAATACTGCTGGATAACAGCAGATCATATTTTAGGATCCAAATCTTTACCTGGCTTTTGGATCATGGATAAGTGAGACCTTGAGTCTTTTAACATTGAAACTGTTTCCAAAATATTCAAAATGAAATTTTAGATAATTTTATCACCTTATACTAAATCTTAGAATAATATCTTATTCACTTGCAAGAACAAGGCAGTGGCTAGAGCACTGGATAGGGAGTCAGGAGACCTGGTTTCTTTTTCTGGCTCTGAAATTGGCCTAGTGAGTGACTTTGGGCAAGATACTTCTACAGCTGTGCCTCAGTTTTCAAAGCCATAAAACGGAGATAGTGATACTCCTTTATATTGCACTTTAAGAGCTATTGATGAAAAGTGCTTTGTAAGCACTAGATATTATTGCTGTAATAAAAATTAAATGCACAATTCAACCAACCAACCAACAAAAACCACATGACATGGATCAAGAGTAAGATCATGTGTGGGTATAACTCTTTGCCTACTGAAGTCGATAGGATTTTCGGCATTGACTTCAGTGAGTAAAGGATTGAGCTTTGGTATTTGTACGGGTTCTTAAGGAGAGCTGGAGCCCTGTCTCCTGGAGGCTCCTTTTGGAAATCCCAGATTTAATTGTTAGCCCTGTTCCCATGATTCTTAAAATGCTGGGAGCACAGTTTAGGTCACTGTCTCTGGCAACGGACAAGCTTTGTAATCTATTCCCAGAGGTTTCAAGAACAGCTTCTTATCTCTGTTTTCCATTTTCCTCCACCAGTTGTAATAATGTGTGCCAGCGGTGACACAATAAGGAACATCATGTTAGCTGCTCATCGACAAGGAATGACCAATGGAGACTACGCTTTTTTCAATATTGAACTCTTCAACAGCTCGTCATATGGTAATATTATTCCCCCACCCACCAGTATGTTGCAAAACTTTAGTAAACATGATAACATTTTTAGATTTGTTGCTCTTAAAATATACCATGATGTGTCTTAAAATACACCACTATCTCACCCTGACCCTGAGGTTACCCGCAACTTGAATTATGATATTAGCAAGAAGAAAACCAGAAATTCTGGATTTAACTATTTCTGGACTGATCTCTGTGAAGAAACTATGTGGGTAAATGGGAGATGTAGTATAGAACTTCCCTTACATTGAGGGAAAACTGCCTCCAACAAAGACATTTTTATACCATCCTGTTCTCACTACTTTCTATTCTCTTATGTGTGCTCTAATTCACAGCAGGTTGCTCTAAATCCCAGTCTTGTGATTGCAAAGTTTTGGGCATGGAATAGCCCAGCTCCCATTGTGGGCTAGAGTGCATATGGCTGACTGGGAGGTAGGCAGTGGTGACATGGCAAATACCAGCACAAAGAGTCATTGTTAAAGTATTGAGGGGTTGCCTAGACCACCAGACAGAAAAGTTTGAAGTCCTAGGGTGAAATCCTAGCCCAAATGAAATTAGTGGGAGTACTGCAGGGGTGTGTCTACACAGCAAAGTTATTTCAGAATAAAAGCTGTTATTCCGAAATAACTCTGTGAACATCTATACAGCAATTCTGTTATTTCAAAATTATTTCGAAATAATGGCTTGTTCCAACTTCTATAACCTCATTCTATAAAGAATAATGCCTATTCCGAAATAGCTATGTCAAAATAAGGCATGTATAGACGCTCCACTTCTGCTATTTTGAAATAGCCCGTCACCAGGGCCATTCTAAGTTATTCCTCCTGAGGCTCTACATTGAGATAGCACGTCTACATTAGGGAAGTCTGCCTCAGACTAACTTTGAGGCTTCACTGCAGTGTAGACATGCTATTTCAAAATAAGCTATTTAGGAATAAATATTCCTGAATAGCTTATTCTGAAATAACTGTACAGTGCAGACATAGCCCAGATAAGTACCTTTGCCAGTAGCTGGAAACCATTGATCTAATATATGCTCCAGATTTTTGAAGCACATACTCCTGTAGAGACAAACTGCAATATGTAGCCCTGTAGTATCATCTGGTGCACAAAAGCAGTTATGTTCACAACTTTGCACCAGTACAAGGTAGTCACATACATGTGATGTGCTTATATTTCTGTGCTCTACACATCCATTACTAAAAGTTATGCTTAGGTAAATATTTCTCCAAGGACTCAGCACTAGTACCCCAGAGATAAGAGAGCACTGTATATCTGATTTCTTGGCGACTGACACAATATATGTGTTGGGTTTTTGTTGTTGTTGTTGTTTATTTTCAGTTCTAACTTCTGATGCCACATTGTTTAAATAGCATTTCTTGAACATTTCTGTAAATCATTCCTAGGGGGGGAACATTAGAATGCTCTTCTGTTTTAATAAGGGGCAAACTAACTACTAAGAGGAATCAATGAAACTGACTGTACACAAATTGTTGTCAACTGAATTTCCATACCTCCTATTATAGTTTGAATTAACTTTGTGTTACTGAAACTATCAAAAGTTACAGAGCTGTAAGACTGAATATTTCAGGGTTTCAAGTAGCTTTTGTTTCTATAAGGCCACACGATCACACTTCTTTTCTGTTCTTAAAGATTATTTTAATTTCTAAAGAGGCACATTAATTGTTGAAGCTGCAACAGTTACAGTGGTACATCAGAAAGTATTTTAAGTGCTGCTCCCAGATTCCATCCCCAAAACGATGTGCAATTTACTTTAGAAACTCTGTTAAGTAAAGGTAGCTTCTCTGTTTCTAGTTAAAACAGCTTTTCGATTAAACACGTTTAGATCAGACTGATGTACACATTTAGGATCAATATTCATATTTAGGACCAATATTACCTGATGCTCAGCTTTCTCTGGGAAAGCCAGGATCCCAAATGTGGCATATATGTGAGACTGGGGAACTATGTGAGTAACTTGCAATTGGCCTGTACCAACAAGCAGCAAACTATATCTCTCCAATGGCTCAGCTGCTATCACAACACAACAGGGAACAGAGGAGACAAAGCAGGCTTCTTCCGTATTTCATCTATTTGCATGCCTGGACCCAGAGTCCATGTAACCCTCTCATGGCCGTAATATCTTTAGCTCCCATCCCACCCCCCTACGCAGGCATATAGTCCAAAGTCAAGGCAGATAGAATATTTGGTATCTGGCCACTGCAATCTCTGGCAATCACTCCATCTCATCTTCCTCCGTTCCTTTCCCACCTGCTTTTTGACTCTATAAATCAACAAGTTTCCTAAACCAGGCTGAATGATCACATCCTCCCTCATCTCAGGGTTCAATGTGTTTCTACATTCCAAATCTCAACAGCTGCTTATGTTCTGCCATTCTAATCTTTGTACTTTTAGCCCCAAATGACTTTTAATTCCAAAAATAAAACTGTCTTTTAAAATTATTGTTAAGCATTTAAAAGCAAGTTGTTTAAGGTCGCAGACATTCCCCCAAGGCATCATAATTTATCAATTCACAGAAAAGATTAAAACCCTATCCAAGACACTGAGAACCTTTCCACTAGCCTCTGTGGGCTTTGATTTAGACCTTTGGGCTCAGCCAATGCATAGGAAGTACTCAGCACATGACAGGATCAGGCCCAAGCAGGCAAAGGCACTAAAAGAAATGAGCTGTAATTGAGTTTTCAGATTACTGAATTCGTTTCCTGAGTCTAGTCTCTTGCCTGTTGTGTCATTGAGCAGATGCAAGTGCCATGTGTGTAGTGTCACTTTCGTGGTTGGGTGTTTGTTTTCTGCTAAGAGAAATTGGGTCTGTCCTGCAGCCATTATGCACACGGCATTCCCATTGATGTCAGTGGGAGAGCTGGGTGATTAGTGGCTAGATCAGGCCCTGATGGCATCATTCCAGGTAATTATTTTACTCCTCTGACTCTACTTAGACCTGACTTTGCTCAAAGTTTAAAGGGAGTCAGAGGCACATCGATTGGGAACAGAACCCAATTTGTCTCCTTCTCACTTGTGCTTGCCCCTACACACCCTTTTTCTCTGTATTTGAGGATGTTATTTGTACATATCTACACTTGACTCCCGATCTTAAAAATAAACGAGCAAATATAGGAAGAAAATCTCAGTGCTCACCGTTCTTCTAGGCTGGGCTTCTGACTGAGGAACATAATCTGTACCATCATTTCAAAGGCATTATGCCAGTCCCCCTTCCTATTTTGTTTCTCTCTCATCAAGAGGTATGTTGAATTCTTACATTAGCTTCACCACACATATTGCACGAATGTACATTGTATATTGCTGTCTGCCCCAAGCAACATATAGGGGATATTTAAACAGAAAGAGAGAGAGAGAGCCCTTTATGCAAATTAGCCTGGAATTGTAAATATTTTTATTTCTCCCTTAGGAAATGGCTCGTGGAAGAGAGGAGACAAACATGACCTTGAAGCAAAGCAAGCCTACTCATCCCTCCAAACAGTCACACTACTGAGGACAGTGAAACCTGAGTTTGAGAGGTTTTCCATGGAAGTGAAAAGTTCTGTTCAGAAAGAAGGTCTGAACGAGGATGATTACGTAAGTACTTGATTATGAGCCTACAGCTTTTAGCATCCTCAAAAACAGGCTCCTGATTAAATCAAAGGTGACAAAGTGGCCTATTCTGACTGTCAAAAACACCTTGGTTCTGATGTGAAACTCACTGTTACCTTTGTGAACTCTCTGGTAAGATGTTTTTCTCTCTGGCTAAAGAAATTGCTCTTTATGGTTGTCCACAGTCATCAGGCAGTACACAGGGGAGAGGCAGGAGAAACAGGGGCGCCACACTCCTCTAACACGTCCATCTTTCAGCACACTCCTTTTATTGGTAAAATATTTTTTCTTGATCTCTGTATATTCTCTCTTACTCCAGCTCTCCCTCATGCTTTTTCCTTCAGGGATATGGGGTCTTAGCAGGTTGTGCTTGACTGTTATATCAACTAAATTACATTTTTCTTGATCTTTAAGCTTACCATGCTAAAATTGTCTGTGTGCTTTTAACTGTTCGTATACCCACTGGAGGTATTCCACAAATCCTGTCAAGTGTTGTAAGGCTGGAAGTACCACAATGCTCCAAAGAGGGAGGGAAATACTATATTTCCTTTTACCATTCACCTCTAGAGCAAGATGCTTCTGGGAAACTGTAGTCTTAACTTACCATAGAGAAGCTCTAATTGAAAATCTATCACCTATTTGTGGTTTTAAATAGTGGGAAGGGTTATTTGGAATGTAAGGCCTTTTTGACACTGCTAGCGTATGTCTACACTACCCCCCTAGTTCGAACTAGGGGGGGTAATGTAGTCATACGGAGTTGCAAATGAAGCCCGGGATTTGAATTTCCCGGGCTTCATTTGCATGAAGCCCGGGAAATTCAAATCCCGGGCTTCATTTGCAACTCCGTATGACTACATTACCCCCCCTAGTTCGAACTAGGGGGGTAGTGTAGACATACGCTAGCAGTGTCAAAAAGGCCTTACATTCCAAATAACCCTTGAGTCCGAACGAGCTGGCATTTAAAAATGGCGCCGGCCGGCTTCATGCAAATGAAGCCCGGGAAATTCAAATCCCGGGCTTCATTTGCAAGTTCGTATGACTACATTAACCACCCCGCAGTTCGAACTAGGGGGGTAGAGTAGACATACCCCTACCGAGGAGGGTTTACAGTTACAGTTTGGGTTGTAATTCCAGCCACTTGAAAACATGCAAATCAGATGGAAATAGGTAGGCTGTGAATCCTAGAGAGCCTCGGTCACACCTGACTGCTACAATGACACAGAAAGCATGACTGAGCTCAAGTAGTACCCCGTCAATGGCACAGGAAGCCTGTTCAAGTTGCACATTTTTCCAGATGTAGTTGTAAGAGAGCACAACTCCCACAGGACATGAGGATAAGTATAATGCTGCCTTTGAAGTCTGTTAAGGAAAGTGACAAATGCTGACTCCCACCAGCAAGAACTGAAGACTTGCCAAGATCAGCTAAACTAATGTTTGGAATGCAAGAGCAGCCCAATGGCCAGGGGAGTCAGCCCAGAAGTCAGTGAAGTCAAAAGCAGGCAAAGGTGGGTGGACTAGGGAAGGACAGTTTGGAAAGAAGGAGAGGCACTCTATGGTTCTGTAGGACATGGAGCCCACTTTGAAGTTAGGATATGTCTACACTATAGCGTTAATTCAAGTTATCTTAATTTGAAATAGTTAATTCAACTTAAGCTAATTCGAATTAACACGTCTACACACAAAATGCAGCTCAAATTAGCATTTTGCTAATTCGAAATACTGCATCCACACTGACTGGACACAGAATTGGATGTAAGGCCAGCCAGAACCAGGTCAGGCAGGGCATCAGGTCATGAGCGTCTGTGTGTGGCTGCCGGTTTTCAGGTATCCCTGCTTGCTTGCCTGCCTCGATGAGGGACAGCAAAGCATTTGTGTCTCTGCATGCTCTGGTTGCCCTCACTCGGGACACCACAGCACTCTGCAACATGGAGCCAGAGTTGCCCCTGGGCACTCTGGTGCTTCTCGTAAACGTGTTGCTGCGAGCCTGGCTGCACTTTCTGCAGGCTGCCATCCGGGAGGTCCATTGGGGGGCTGTCAGTATCCAGGAGGCCCTGCAGGAGACCTTCTACCCTGAGGAGCACTAAGAGCCTCCCTGGTCTGCCCCACTGGGGGCTTGTGCCTCATTCCTCCCTCACGTCCTTCCACTTACCCCTCCCTAACGCCCCTTCCTGATGTCAAATAAAAACACGTTTCTTGCCAAAAACAAACTCTCTCTGTTGACCAAAACTGGGGTGGGAATGAGGGTGAGAGAGGGGAGGGGGAAACCTGGGAGGAGGGAGCTGGAAGGGGGAGGAAGGGGGAGGGGAAGCTCAGGGTTGGGGAGTCTTGCCAGACCAACTTGATTTTCATGCAAACCTGCTCCTGGGTTCGCATGTGGCCTTTGGTGGTCAGGCTGGCATCTTCCCTGCCACAGATGGCTGCGTTCCTCTGTCTAGTGTGGAGATCATGGACATTGGGGGCTACCCCCCAAACCTGAGTATGGTCCACCCTGATCTCCGCCCTGGACCAGGAAGGTGCCCGCCTTCTCCGGGCCCTGGCAGGCTCCTGGGAGCTGGCAGACTGCTCCTGGGGCGCAGTGGAGGTCTGGCTGTCAGTGGCTTGCTGGCTCATGTTTTGGGGCCACTGGGTCGGGGCAGTGACTGCTGGCTCTGGGCTGGCAGGCTTTGAGCTGGCACTGGCACTGTGGCCAGAGTCTGCCCCTTTAAGGGCTCCGGGGCTGGGGGGAGGGAGAAGAGTTTTCCTGGTTTGGTTTAGAGTGGCCACCAGGGGAAACTGGGAAGGCTGGAGGCCAGCTAATTCGGACTAAGCGTCTACGCAGCGCTTATTCCAAATTAGCTAATTCGAGTTTGCCATTACTCCTTGTAGAATGAGGTATCCCAAACTCGAATTAAGCGCTCTGCTATTTAGAATTTAATTCAAAATAGCGGTTTGCTTGTGTAGACGCTCTGGAAGTTAACTTTGCAGTGTAGACATACCCTTAGAGAGGCCCATGCGTGTATCAGTTCAGCCTGGCTACAATGACACTGTCAGGAAAATATGACTCCCATTATAAAGTTCAGAATTAGCACAATGTGTGTGAGAGATCAGCAGGCTCCCTCACACGGGCAAACAAGAGTATTTGCATTTTTATGCTTACAAGGTACTGGCCTTCCTCCTTGTTTGCAGCTGGTACATTGCCCAGAAAGAAGCTAAAAATGCACAAAACATTCCTGATGTTGCTTTTCCACATAAGCAGTTGCTATCATTGATAAGAGACATCCCTATAGTCAAGAATGGTCAATGGCAACCTGACTGAGTGTACCTATTTCTTTATGCAGTCTTTCATCGCACTCTAGTGACAGACGAACAAATGGTAGATTGAGTTTTTAAGAAGGCAATAGATCTTTTGCTCCCAAACTTTGTAATAAGGCAATCCATCAACTGCACTATGTCTTTTTTTATTATCCAAACCCCAGCAAATCCAGCCTAATTTCACCCCGACAGCAAGGGGAGGTCATTGGAGAATGAGCCAACTCTGCAGCAAAAGCTCCTGTCCTAAGGGCCTGACTCCTCCTTCCAGTCTTGGGATCTGGTGCAGGTTATTATCTACCTAAAAAAATGTTATTTCTCTACCTAAATAACAGAAATACTTGCCCAAAAGTCCAACACCCAACATGTTGCTCTTTAGAATATATGGTCACTTATATTGGAACTAAAATTTTCTGATAATATGGTCTTCACATTCTATCCTGCTACCCAATGCCAAACTCCAGGGTTGTGTCTACACTGGCGCGATCTTGCGCCAAAGCGGCCGTTCTTGCGCAAAAACTTGCTGCCTATCTACTCTGGCCGTGTGTTCTTGCACAAGTAAACTGACGTTCTACTGTATGAAATCAGGGCTTCTTGTGCAAGAACTATGATGCTCCCGCTCAGGAATAAGCCCTTTTGTGCAACTGTTCTTGTGCAAAAGGCCAGTGTAGACAGGCAACACGAATTTATTGCGCAAGAAGCCCCTATGGTTAAAATGGCCATCAGAGCTTTCTTGTGCAAGAGAGCGTCTACACTGGCATGGATGTTCTTGCGCAAAAGCACATCTCTTGCACAAAAGCACATGCCAGTGTAGACACTCTCTTGCACAACTACTTTAATGCAAGAACTCTTGCACTAATGAGTTTTTGTGCAAGATCATGCCAGTCTAGACGTAGCCTAATTGACTAAGTAGATGTAGGATTAGCCCCTACAGCAGGCGCTTAACTCCTTTAGAAGTCTATTTGGACTTGCTTGCTCCTCTGCACTGTGGGATCAGGTCCTTAGTAGTTGAAACTTCTCAATATCCATCTGGGATGGATAGTCATAGCTAGGGAAAGTAAAACAGCCTAATGTTACTAGCTAGTATATTGCCCCGTTACTGTCTGGGATATAAACAAGGTATTAATCAGCTACTCACAGAACACTCTGAACACTTGTAGAGTGATTTGAGGTGTTTGGATTAAAGGCATAACATAAGAGCTCTGAGATAAATGTGCCAGAGATGGTGATGGGCGTGATTTGCATTTATTTGACGTTAGCAATTGCAACTGCCTCTGTACTGGGGGGAGAATAACTTCAGACAGACATGTTGGTGTAAAAAATGCTTAGCAAGAAACAGTATTTCAGTTCAAGTATATTCACAGTCCAATTTTATTAAATAACAGGGAGCACTTAATGCATTGGCTTAAGGCTTCAGTTTGCAACTTCTTAATGCTACCTCTGTTCCTGGCTTGGGGGTAGAATTCAATAAATGTTGTTTTTATATCTAACCCAGTATTCTGAGCTGGGATGATTTTATAACCTTGGATATTTGCTCGTTTGAGGTTAGCAGGCCACCCAGGGCTTGTTTTTTCTTCTTATTTAAAAGCTGAAAATTTAACTAATTAAATAAACATTCCAACCATGTTAACTGCACAGCAGCATTGTTTTTTGGGAAAGATGTGTGAGGTTTTTTCTTATCCACTAACCTCTTCCCA